GACTAATTTTAGATTCTTTTACCTTGCTTGTACCTTCATGAGTGACTTGTTGTTTATACCATATCTCCTTGGCAGTTGTACAAGATGAAACCCTCCTATATTAATCTAGTCCAAGAGCACAAAATATAATATGCATAGCCTTTGAGTTAAGCTGGAACATTTTCGTCTCTTCTTCACTCCACAAATTTGAATGAGTGGATGGTTCGATGTATCCATTCTCCACGATTTTTCATGCTCCCATGTCACTGCTTGAATGAAGTACCTCATTCTATTCTTCCAATAAGTATAATTAGCTCCATTGAAGAAAGGAGGCTTGTTGACGGGCTGAGAGTCAAGAACGAAGTCGAAGTTTGAAATGAAGGCCATTGATGACTTGAAAATCGATATAACTCTTCCTGAATCGACTCAAGAGGTGGTTAAACCTTCAAATGAGTAAAGCTGTGATACCAATTATTGAGTTAATCGATCGATGAATCGGCCAAGAGGGGGTGAATTGGCAATAAAAATTTTGGTGGAAACTTTTGCAAAAAATTGAAAATATTTGCACAACGATTTAGAGTGGTTCAACTTTCTCAACCAAAGTCTACCGCCACTACCTTAGCTATCCACACTAAGGATTTTCCACAAATCCACTAATTTGTCTTTCTTTTGAGGACAAAGAGTAACCTTACAACTCCTTCAAGAATTATACCCCAAATTCTTGATAACACTCTCTCCCAAAGAGAAAATTACAAATTCGCAAACTTTATAGAAAAACCTCACAAGGTAGATTGTTTGCACAATTCTAGAACAAGAAAAGAACACTCAAAGATGAATACAATTGAGCACAAAATGTGTTCTTGAAAGCAAAATGAATATTAAAGGAAAATTGGCTTGAATTTCACAAACTTGATGTTTGATGCTTTCTCTCTTGATTGTTTCTCAATTCTTATTGATCAATGGCTCCTAATCTTGTTTAAATACACATTGGATCCCTTCTGAACGTTGGGGATCATTGGTGAAGTCAATAGAGCCGTTATGGCGTGAATACCATTTAAAAAATTTGTTGGGAGCGTAGGTGTATCGGTACACTCAGTGTAAAATTCAAATATTTTGACCGTTGGTTGACCTGGTATATCGATACACTCAAGAGTGTATCGGTACCCAAATTACATTCCATGTTTCTCGGAGCCAGGAGTGTATCGATACCCAAATTACATTCGATGTCAGGGGTTTATCGATACATCCAAGAGTATCGGTACCTCCCTTTGTAAAAATCATTTTTGGCCCGATTAAAGTTCGGAATACTTTGTAAAAATTGTTTCAAAAATATTTTAAGACTAAAACACAATTTTACACTTAAGTGAGGATTAAAATTGACATTTGAAAGCTTGGAGTAATATTTTTGATATTCGAATAATTTAATCGAATATATAATTTTAAATTAGAAAATCTTAAAAATTCATTTACACTTTATTTGTTATATCGAAACATCAAAATGTTTTCAACAGGAAGTATAAGAATTTGAATATAAATTTAATTTATGATCCTATTATTTCAGATTCAATCGCATAATTCTAAGGCAAAATATAAAATATTCTAGTATTTCCAATTAAAGAGAAACTAATCCCTAAATTGCTTTAGGATGAGTATTTCTCTTTCCGGCTGAAATAATAAGAATATGATAATTTTTCCCAAGAAAGAATTTGATATAACCAAACTAAAGTAAATATATCTTTTAGGATTTTATAGGCAGGATATTTATTTATTTTAAAATACCATAATAGAACATCTAGCTACTTTAAGACATCCCTTTCTTAATATTAAAAAATAAATAAATATTATTATTTAATCAAATAACTTATTAATCTTTCATATATATATATATATATATATTAATGTGACTAAAATTAAATAAAGATAAAATGAAGAATTAAGTACTAAATTAAAAATATTGAAACTTAAAGGGCAATAATAAAAATAAAATAAAATTTTAATTAAACAATGACCAAAATAAAGAAAATTAAAACTATAATATTAAATTGCAAAATATCTAAATTAATAGCCATAATTCGAATTATTATTAAATATAAGTACTATTAGTGTAATTTAACCATAATTAATTTTACGGGTTAGATCATTAAAATTAAAAGGACTAAATTAAATATTTTACCTTAAATATATAAATATATAGGCAATGACTAAATTACAATAAAATAAAATGTAAAGACCAAATTAAAATGCGTAGAATTGATTTCAGTGACTAAAATATAAAAGGTATAATATACAGGGACCACAAAAATAATTTACCCATGCATAAAAATCACTCAGAGGTCCCTACCCAAAACAACGTAGTTTTGAGTTAGATATAAATATGTCAAAATAGACCTAAAATCCTCATTTCTCTTTTTTGCTTCTCTCTAAAAGAGATAAGCTCTCCATTCTCTTTAGCTTTCCCTCACCAGAGGGAATCCGTTCACCAGCTGACCATCGTACGTCGTCGCCGACGGTCACCGGAATTTTGCAAATTGCACAAATCGAAGCTCTCATTATCCTAAAGCCGAATCCGGCCTCCGTTTCTCCTAAAAATCTCTAGATGAACGTAGATATACAATTTTACCTTTGACGTTTCGTATATCCGGCGTGGAGGCTCCTCTGTAAATTTATTCTTCTTTTCTATATATTTTTTTTCTATTTGGTTGCTGTTTTTTTGATAGTTTCGGTCGATGGGGCTTTTTATAGGCCTTTTCGTACGTCCTTTGGATCGGTTAAAGGAGGGTAACTCGGTGAGTCATCGACCGATCCAAAGGGCTGCTGTCATTAATACGCGTACGGTTAATATCCGTACGGTTAATATGCTTGATGGAAGCTGCTGGAACGGGGACCTGGAGAGGCTGTTGTCATTTGCTGGAAGCTACTGGAACTGCAACGTGTAAGGGTTGCTGTCGTTTGCTGGAAGCTGCTGGAACTGCAACGTGTCGGGGCTGCTGTCGGCTAAAACTGGTGATTACAAAGATTATCGACAAACAAATAAATACGATCGAAAAGGAAAAACAAATAACACCAGGATTTACGTGGAAAACTCAAAAGGGAAAAACCACGGGTAGAGGAGAAGAATTTCACTAATATGAATAAAGAAAATACAAGAGGATTTTAGTGAAAGAAAAGAACTTGATTTCTAACTCTGACCCTTAGTATCTATTTATAGGAATAGATAATTGATTATAAAGAAAACTAAATAAAGTAGAAATCTACTTTAATAAAGTTTTATACTTTTAACTAAACTGAATTTCCTATTTTCCCAATATTTATATATTAATTAATTTGTGTCACTTTAAATTCGAGTTAAACTCTAACCATTGATTATGCAAATGGAAGTTCAAAACAAAGCAGAAGTGAGGAAATCCTAAAGACGATGTTAAAGCTGGGCATGAAACCTGTTACTGATGTAAGCAGGGTCACCATAAAGAGAATCAAGAATGTATGAGTTCTCATCATCTTCTTTTCAATTTTTGTTTAGCTACACCCTATGACTGATGATATAACCTAGTTTTGATTGGATTCAGATACTGTTTTTCATCCCAAAACCTGAATTCTTCAAGACCCCGAATTCTGAAAACTATGTGATTTTTGGTTAGGCTAAGAGAGGATTTGAGCTCTCAGTTACAGACACAAGCTGCCCAGCAGTTGAGATTTCCCGACAAGCATAGGTTCAGTGGTGGACACATCTACTGCACCAGCCGATGAAGAGATTGATGAGAGCGGGGTAGAGGCTAGACACATTGAATTGGTCATGTCTCAGGTTGGGGTATCAAGGAGCAAGGTTATCAAGGCCCTAAGGACTCACAATGGGGATATTATTTGTGCTATTATGGAGCTAACCACTTAGGTCGTCTCCATTGTTAAACATTGAAATTACAATATTTTCTTTAATGATTTTTAGTTATTATAAAATGGAAAGACTAGATTTATAATTAAATCAAATATTTTGAACAATGTAAATAAAATAATGAAAGGAGTTGTTCTTCTCCCCTTGAGTTTCCAACTTTATTTCCTCTCTCTCTCTCTCTCTCTCCCCCCACATTTTCACTCTTCCCTATCTTCCTTTATTAAAATGCCTATAAAAAAGATGTCAACTTTACCACCGAAGATTGGTAAGATCGGCTCTTACACCGTCTTCATTACACCTGCCACTCCTCTCTCACCGAACTCTTCTTCCTATCTTTGTTTTGTTTTTGTTGTGATGAGTTTTTGATACGTTAATTTCATCGCTTCAGTATGAGAACGAACCTTGAATTGAAACGAACAAGTTAATATCATTTCAATATGCAAACGAACCCTGAATTGAAACGAACAAATTCAAACGAGATTCGTGGGGTAGACGACAAATTAGGAAACACTATTTGTAGTAGTTGAGATAACTATACTAAGTTGCCAGCTTTTCCTTTGATTTTTATCATTTTTACCAGTTTTCAACTCATTTATCAGCTTACTGCCTTACCCTCTTGTACAAGAAATTTTTGCAGCTCAATTAAAATACTTATATTTTTTTAGGCAATTCAGAACTTGAGAGCAACTGAATTCATGAATGATTACACCTTTGTTTTGTGCCTTAACTTCAGCTGCAAGATTGTGTAACCAAAGGGAGATGTAGGCAGAAGGATCTAAAAATGAAAGAATAATTACTCTAATCTACTGCGAGTCGTCACAGCATTTTAATATAAATTTTGGAAATCCAAGTTCAACCCAATTAAATCATACATTCACTCCTAAAGAAGTGACATTCAACAAGATTAAGCTTGACGTAGTTTGATGAAACAAAAGGAAATATGCTCATGTTCACGCAGACTAATGTGCCACCAAGAAATATGCAACTTATGATGATTGAGTTTTATTTTAATTAAACAGAATGATGTGCAGTAAAACAACCAGAGACCACACAAGAAATGAAGAATAAATTGCCAGACAGAGAAAACAAGAAACAAAGAAGAGTTGAAAAGCTTCAAGGAGAGCATCACACATATCAAACAAGAGAGAGACAAGCGGTTTATTCAAAATAAGTTTTTAACAGCTTTCTAAATGGTTTAGAGCAGTCATGTCTGAGCAACTCACAGTTGGTCTTCCACACACTATATAAATGTTTTAAGGGTAAACTAAGATAAAATTCACCATAAAATAACAAACCTGGACCAAATATAATTCAATTATTCTGTCCTGAAAGTTCCTCCTTCAATACATGTTCCCAGTCCGAAGAACTGTTGTCAGAGACTTGAGTTCCAAGCCTGGTGCTCCCAGGAGATTGTACCGCGGAATCATGCTGGATGGATGGATGAAAATACTTCGTGACTACCTGTTCACCGTCATGGTTGGCTCCTTGGTTTGGAAAAACTGGTTTCGGATTTACACCTGAAATTCCATCCACCACTGTGTCTTCATCAATTGATATTTGCCTTCTCTTACCTGCAAATCCAAGATCGACAACCTTCGGCAGAAGTTTCCTTTTCATCTCATTAGAATCCGAGTCATCAATGTCTCGACTTTTCAGAATCTGAAACCTAGCCATGACAGAGGCTTCAATATCATTTGTGTGGCAGGCCTTTCCCGTTACAAGGGAGTCCGGAGATTGTATGCCTGAGGTTGAGCTATCCTTTACTTCAGGTGCAAATTCATCAACCTTGTCCAAATCCAAAGAAAGCTTGGAGCTAGTGAGTTCATCTACATCTCTGGTATGAACAGAATTTGAATTGTTAAGCCGCTGCCTTAGTACTTGAAATCTGGCTGCTACATCATCAGCGCTGTTTCCATTGCTGGAGTTTTTGATATGAGAATTTTGATTAGAAATTGCAAGTATCGGTCCACTCTCAGTTACTGATGTTAATTTCGCATTGGCATTCACTTCATCAGAAAATTTGGCAGTTACAACATCAGCATGGTTGCTTGAGTTTTTGATGGGAGAATTTTGATTAGAAACAGCAGGGATTGATCCACTCTCAGCTACTGCAGCTAATTTATTTGTGTTTCCGTCAACTGGAACTTTAGATCCTGATATTTTGTCATCATCTGCCGACTTTTTTGACATATCTAAAGCAGAACAACAGGTATAAAATATGTATCAGATAGATATAATGAAAGGGTTAAGGAATCTTAGCAGAAATTTCTAAAGCTTTTATTGTGAACAAGACGTAGTCCATGAACCTTCTCCGGGATCCAGTTTGCATTTTCCTAATTCAACCTTCATGTTATAAAAACGAGCCATGTAATTGACGGAACACAAAGAAGCTTCTGCCTCTAGCCAAAGATTCTTATACAAGTGAACTTGTGGATTTGCCTCTTCATTTTCATGAAAATTGTCTATAAGAATCTTCTTTATAGCCTGCATATCATCAACCAAGGGAGATAGAATGTCATTTTTATTTGAATTTTCATCTCGTTTTCCATCCTACCAAAGAAGTAATGAATGAAACATTATCTATCACAGGACAGGCAATGAATCAAAATAAGCAAATACCTGGGTCATCTTATCATTTTTTACTTTTTCGTCTGTGCCACTCTCAGCAGAAATAAATTCAGGACATTTCACATCTCCATTACCAGAATGCTTCCCTTTCTCTTGTACATGATGACTCGGAACATCAATAGCTGCCATCTGGGGCCATCCCTTACTTGTGCCCTGCAAGAAACACAACTTAGCAGTTCACATCTCTTACAATTAATCACAAATCAATAGGAAAGACAAAATAAAAACAGGTAAGCATACCTCATCAAGGTCACTAAAAAATGACTTTTCTCCAGTATTTTTTGGCACGCATGTATCAAGATTGTTGACTATTTTTTCAAGGGACCTGAGATCTTTTTCCTGTAATTCGCATGTCTCGTTTGAGCATTGATAAAGAAGCAGTTCTGACAGGTTTTGCATTGTAGATAATAGAACACTGATGCTGCTATTTGAAACCAGTTCTTGGCCCAAGCATTTAGAATGTTTGGTAGAAATATCTTCTACATAAGATGGGAAACACGAGAGATCTTTCACAGCATGGGAAGACATATGAGATGAACCACAGCCAGAGACATCATTTGTCCTCTCATGATAAGCAACACCAGTCTCAGATGTGGGAACATTTTTAGAAGCCAATCTACCTTCTGCAAGACTTTGTTGAATGTTGCAAGATGCTCTCTCAATCATATCCACTGACATGTTGAATAACACAAAATCTTTCTTCTGTTCACTTGCATCTTCCGAGAATTTGGTCCCACATGCAGAACCTTTTTTTTTCTGATAGGATCCTGTTTTCCCCACATCATCAGAATGTTCTCTAAACAACGTTATAGAGACAGGGGGAAATGTCAAAGAAGAGACTGAATCATGTTCCATATTCCTGTGTTCAACAGTCGTTGCAATTTTATTTTGTTTCCCAGAAGGAAGTTCAACCGTGTTAGCAGCATTCGTAGGGATAAAATTAAGTGCTTGACCAGTTGAATCATCCCATGCTTCAAGCTTATTTACAGGCTGCACAGAAACAGGCTCAGAAGATCCAAACGGGGAAATATGAGAATAAGGAGCTCCTTTCCAACAAGGTGAGTCAACATGAGGGTTGAAATGATCTGAACTTTCTAAAGAATTCTCCACAGCAGTGAGTGGTTCAGTATCATCAAGTGCCAAACTGAAATTGTTTGGAGTAACATGAGAAGCATCTCTAGGTTTTGCTCTGAACAAAAGATCAGAAGCATCCTTAGAGGCCATATTTGAGGTTGAAAGCTTTTCAGACCTTGATGCTGATAACTCCCCAGACAAATAACTATTTTCATCAAGGTGAGAGCTGGGTTGACTGGGGTCAGAGTCATTTTTGCTTCCAAAGTTTAACAAATAATGATATTCATTCACACAGGGGAGATTGTGTCCAGTCAAAATTGTATCATTTCTATTGATGCCAGTGTCAAAATTTTTGAATGGAACAGTATGGGACACTGAAGGGCAGGCATCAGCAGCTGCTGGTCTGATAACGATCCCAGTAGAAGATTTCAGGACAGGTACATCACTAGGAGCATTACTGAGCTGTCTCACTGGTTTCTCATAGGGACTGCTTAAAGGCACTTGAATGTTCTTTCCATTTACAAGATTCAAGGGAGGTACCTGCAAATTGGATTCAGAAGGTACAGAATTGGGCCCAATAACCGATTGCTTCAAGTAATCCGCAGGCATGTACGAGAAATTTTGCCCCAGAACAGGATTATAGTCTAGTGTTTCTATATCAGGAAGTCCAGCTTTGTTTTCCCTACCTAGAGAATAGTTATTATGTGTAGTTACTTCACATGTGTTTAGGCTACTGTAAGGATGAGGTCCTGCAATTGGAGACCAGAAAAATAAAGGTTACACACTATACACCTGAAATTCCATTATGATTATTCTCCAGTTCCCCCACTACCAATGCAGTTCTTCTCATAAAAACGAGTTTGACTATCCAAAAGCATGTAAGGATACAAGGATTGAAGATGCATTTTCCTACAACAATTGGGATCATAATAAAAATTCAACAGGAAATGAAAGAACCATGCAAATGAAAAGGATAAACTTACCAAGGCTGATATGATCCGTGTAAATAGTGGGAGGGGCTACATTATTAGCCTCCTTTGGATAAAAACTACCACCCAGCTGAGCCGGATTCCTTTTTTCCCAATCCCACAACCCACCACCCCATTGACCCGTATGGTCCCGGCCAGACAAGTTGTGTTCATTGAAAGTGGGCGGATGAAGGGTTTGTGAGACATAGGAAGAATAATAGTTTTTTGGTTCAAAAAGATCCGAATTTTGGTTATAGGAAGGCGTGGGAATCGGCTCCAAATCCATCTGAGGCAGTTGACTAGGTTGGGGTGAATTAAGACTGAAAGGATTACTGTCAAGCCAATTCAAGGGTTCAGCCAAATCAACAAGTGGAGTCACCATAGGCTTAATGATAGATCGGTCGACGGTGAAAGGCGGAGCTAAAGCTGATAAATTTGAAGATCCCCCACTTCCATGCGCGTTCCCACCATAAGGCCCAAATCCCATCATCGTTTTTCCTCAAAACTTAGACCCAAAAGAAACGGTCAACTTCTGCGGGAACAAATAAACAGAGAATAAGAAAAATTGAATAGAACCAAAAGCATCATAACTATGATCGGTTTTATTCATCGTACCGACGGAGACGAATGGCGAAGGAGATGTAAAAACCCAAACTTTTTAGAAGAGATAATCAAGGGGCATCAGGGATCACCATCATCAACCCCCATCACCGTCACTTTGTGTTTGGAGAGCTGAGAGTTAGGTGCTGCAGGAGCTGGATCTCTCCTGTTTTGGACTATGGACTCTTATCCTTCAATTTCACTTTAATTTTCATCAAGGTCCCCAAGTTGGTTTTTGAAATTTATTTTTGCCTAATTTTATTTATAATCTCTTAATCAAGTTTGGTGAAGTCTAATCAAGTAGCAATGTAGCATCAAGTAAATGAAAATTATTACAAAATATTAATAAAAATTAATACGTGTCAATTCACTTTAAAATAATTAAGGTTATGTTTTAATATTATATTTTTTAATAAATAAAAAATTTAAACTATTAAAATGATACTTTCATTTTAGCGTAAATTACTCAAATAACCACTTAATTCCAGAGTTAGTATCGATATGACCACAACTCTTTCAATTTTGACAATATGACCACAAAAATATTTAAATAGTTTCAACTAAATTATCTGTCATTTAAATTTAACGAAATAACTAATAAACTTGGTTTAGCGATATATTTAGTCCTTATAATTTATTTATTCTTTTAATTTAATCATAATTTTTAGAAGTTTTAATTGTTCGCTAGAAAGATGGCTTCGAGTTCTTGTTTTTTATTGTCTCACACTCAATTTTACTTTGGTTTTTGTTCAAATGAGTACGCATGTTAAAGATCTTTTTACTTCAAATTTGTTTTGTTCTTGGTGTTAGATGATCTCGTGGTCGATATTTGGGTTGACCCCACCTTTGGGACTCTCCTTTATTGTAGTTATGAAGGAAAAATAAAATCTTTATAACACCCCTTTCCGTATCTATCACCGTACATGAGTAAGAGAAGTCACATGAACTTTATAAAATATTGCTGACCAAAATCAGAAAAATTTTGTTCCTTAAAAAATAACTCATTTAAAAACAATTAACAACAGTCCATCTAATTGCATAAAAGCAAAATAAAATATTATGAATTTCAAATCAAATCTATTTTCAAGCAACAATCTAGCATTTCAATTCTATATCATGTAATAAATAAAAATACCTAAAGACTACTTAAACTACATTTCATCTGGAAGCCACTTTAAACTAATTTTTCTAAATTATTAACTAGCAACCCATTTTTAAGACTAGTATAATTAAGTATCATTCTTTAAAAACTAACATATATAAACTACTACAAACCCAACCCCAAAACATATTCATATCTAACAGTATTAACACGTATAGACAAATACATGCCAACTAGAAAATAAAAAAAAATCAGTAAGATATCATTACTGATATTAGACAATAATCTTCGATAGAAGATGTCAAAATATCTCCTTACTCCATTCGATATCCTTTACCTATGTGTGAAAATCATCACATACTAAGTATACACTTAGTGAGACATTTTTTATAATCAAAGTAAAGAATATCAATATTTAAAAATATCACATATATCATAAATGGATAATATCATATAATAATGTATGATAATATAAACTGACATAATCAAAGTCACTTTTCTCATAGGATAACCTGAAAATCAACAATTAAGTTAATACAACATTTAATGTCAAATAAGAGTATTCGATTTAATTTTTACTTTCAGTCGAATTGATCAAACCTATACTTTTCAATTTCATTCAAACCATACCCAAAGTATAATAAATGAGAATGCATGATATACGAGTTATATGAGTATGCACAAATTGCACTTTTATTGCCACGTAGGATGTACATATATGTACCGATAATCATGAATATCATAGTACCAATATGACATTACTATGTATCCAATATAGTTGTGTACAATAGTACCAAAGTCACATTACTATGTACATAATACAGTTAATAGTACTCCACCTTTTGGCATGTCAATTATACCAAATAGTCTCAATGTACATACAATGGGCATTTTCATCAAATCTTATATAATTCATTCACCAAAGATATCCATAGATATAGATATATCAAAATATCATATGATAGTGCATTTGACAGGTCATACCCAAAAAATCATTTGAATTCCATTTAACAAAATATTATGAAAATATCATAATATAAATCAAATTATTTTCGTTTCTAAAATGTTTAAGGTTGGCTCATCGCACGCCGTTCTTATATTATACATAATAATATAAGATAAGAATGCACTCACCTGGTATACTTTACTAGAAACCTTTCTTAGTGATTCAAGCTTCACTCCTAAACTTTTTTCTTAGCTTCAAACTTGCTTTGATTTTGATTTTAATCATAGTCTACACATACATCATTTACAAAACATATACATTTCAAAGTAGATGTTAGTACCTTTCCCTAATAATCACATAATAGGAAAGAATTTTCTAAAAATTCTTTCAATGCTTATTCGACATTAAATCTATTTCATATGATCCATATCAACCTGAACAGTTAAAAGTTCCATTAACTTTTATTCTATAACTTCATAACTCTCAATATCATAATCAAAGAATAATTCACATAACCATTCCAAATTTCATAATATAATCATCAAAATGAATTCTTTTGAAATTCACCCCAATATTTCCATAATATTCAACATGGTATTTTTCCATTTAACCTTGAATTCAAGCTTCCAACAATTCATTTAAATATTCTACATTAATTTCAAACCAATTTCCACATCAAACGCATTATTCCTACACATGTCGAATGGTCCCTTAACCTTTCCATACTTCCAAATTGATTCAAACAACATTCTAAAGCTTGCACAATCACTTATTCATAATGTTTAACCTTAAAATAATTCTCCAAAAAATTTCCCTAATATTTTCGTCATATTCAAACCTAGCATGGTAACTTAGGCATGATTTCCAACTTGATTCAAGAATGAATTCTACTTTGAAACATCATATCTAAACATTATCAATCAATCCACTAGGTGGCCAAATCCTATATATACCATTTTCAATTGTTTTTCATCATCTTTCAAGCATGGAAATGATTTCACAACATCAACTACATCATAAACAAGCCATAGAAAATCAATTTCTAACATACCCTTCATTCACCTAAATCAAGAACTTAGGGTTTTAAGTATGAAAACATGAACTAATTGTACCAAATGATAGAGAAGTTCATGTAGATCAATTTTGTATTTCATGCTTTCATAAAAAATTCTAATAAAATGACTTGAAAAATCAAAAGAAAATGTTTCTCATACCTTAAGAGACTCACAGAAATAACTTGGAAAATATGAACACTTCTTGAAAATTCTATGTTTTAATAATAAACTATTTGTCATCTTTTATGTTAAAATGAATTAAAAATTCATTTTATTACAAAATGACCATTTTGCCCTTAAAATCCCATGCCCATCATCTTGCCACATGTCAAAATATTCATCTAAAGGCTCTAATTAATCCCATTAGTAATTACCTTTTTTGCCCTTAAAAAACTCAAAATTACATTCTTGTCATTTTCATCCAACAATTTAGATTTAACATGGAAAATCAACTTAAATCCAATGGTCTATATTAAATCTTATCACTTTAAGGCATGAAAATAAAATTATTAACTTTTCCTTATCATCTAACAAAATATATCAGATATTAGATTCGATCTGATTATCTGAATTTTTCTCAAACTTTAACGTTTTATAGCGTTTACTACAAATTCGGTACAAAATCTGGGTAACACAAAAATTTCATTCTTGAGGGTAAACTATTCATTTACGGGACTAAAATAAATAACTTTTGAAAATTAAAATTTAATCCCTTAACTCTTCCCAAGTTTATACTTTAGCCACCAAACTTTCAATTTATTAATTTTGGTCACTAGCTGATGCGTGCTCAATTTCGTTATTATATTTTTATTATTACTTACTCATAGATTCATCAAATTATGTTGCTATGTTGGGTGTTTTTTTTTTTGTGATTTTTCATGCAGGACATTGAATTCCGGAAACTAAGCTAAATAGGCGAAATTTTGCAACTTTTATGTTTTTCTGGAATCATAGTTGAATTAGTGGGCATGATTTGTGGCATGACTGCTGACGTGGAAACGAATCAACATTTTCTAGAAGGTCCATCTAGCAATTTCGTATTAATAGAACACTCAGCACAAATCAGACTTGAATTTCAGGATTTCTTTTATTTTGGAGATTTAATTTGAACAATTATGGAATTTATTTTTTGTTGCATTTGTTAGTATTCAACCTTAGGAACTATAAATACCCCATTTGGGGTATGCTTGAACATACATCTCTCGTATCCAAGATTGTCTTGTTCTTTCTGTAACACCCATAACCCATAAACGTGAACCAATACGAGTTATAGATGTCACATTAGAAATTCAAAACATTTCTTTAATTGAACTGAGTAAAATTTAGTTTCATTCAAACATCTCAAGGTTCATAACTTGAACAATTATTATAAAATATTTATTCAGAGAAAAATCATAATATAATATTGTTGGTTACCAATTATAAACCAGTTTCAAGTAGGGATAGACAGTTCTGCTTTATTTTCATAAAATAAATAAGACTGTCTAACATGTTTGATTTAAAAACCAAATTAATTTTTGCTAAGCATAATTTAATAGCATAATATTTATTCATACTATTAATTATATTTAATACTAACTAAATTAAGAAATTACAGACATTTCATTCTCATATACATGTTATCTACGACTTTTATAACACAATAGGATGTCATCATTGATACCTGTAAATATTTACTTGGTGATTGATGCCAAGCTCAACTCCTTACTTATTTTCTTCCTTTTTCCTACGTGTGAAAATCATCACACGCTAAGTATACACTTAGTGAGGAAGTAAAATAAATATTCAAAGCAATACAACATATAAATATAAATGAGTAATAATATTCCATGCAATGTGATCACTTTACCTGCATTCCAACCATGTCACAATAAATTAATATGATATAACCAGATATAAAGTTTCTTACCAATATACTTGTCATTTATCCCATAAGCTCATAAGCTTATTTGTCTGTTTATCAATTTTTAACCAATAAACCATAGCCCAATTTAAACCCTGAGAACCCTGGGTGTTTGAGTCAAATATATGAATTGTAGTGCTTAAGCATAAGGTCGTGCCCATCATATGCACCGAAGTGCATTACATATAAGGTCGTGCACACCATATGC